AAACGCTTGACTTCTTCACTACTCAGCTGGCATCCAAAGTTGTTATTCTATAACTTTGAGGGGATTGTGCATAGTCGGTGCTATTGGGTTCCATAGTAGGACGAAACGACTGTCAAGTACTTCCAAGCTTCCAATGGTAGTCTTTCTATGACTGATTCATGATTTCAATGGAAAACAACAATCTTCATAACTCTATAATGAATAAAAAAAGATTATTGTAAAAGGTTTGCTTTCAAAAAATGACTACATTTATAATAAAAATAATGAAATGATGATCCTCAACAGAATTTTCATGCGACACTTTACTCAACACTTAACGCCTTTACAATATCCGCATCCATATCACGAGATTTTCGCATCTGATATGGATAAAATTATTCAAACTACTATTTTTTCTGGAAGAAATTTAATCTAACTGCATTCGTACGTTGAATATTCAATTTACTGGTTTTTATTCCGCTTTTAATGAGCACATTGTTGAATACAGTATCCAGAATAAAATGATTCAGCAGATTTCCATTGATCTATCTATCTATCTATCTTGTTTCATGAGTTTGTTGCTTTTTTCACTGATAATACGTAAATAAGAATATGTGGTGTACATTTTTTACAGAAAATTATTTATTTTAAAAACAATGCGGTACGTTTTTAGTTAAATAACTATCAAAAGAAAATTCTCAAGGGAAATTACTTGTTACTAAATGATAGATTTATATATATACCAAGTGAACAACAAACGTGGCTTCTTGCTGATGATTTTGTTAGTGAATAAGATAAATGTTAATTAGCATTTCGTTATATAACATTAGATTCCTATATACCAAATGATATTTCGATATTATATATATATATATGAATTTCTTCATAGTTATAAAGACAGTAATTGGTAAAAACATGTTAACCAAGTTATTTTTTTACAAAAATTCGATAAACTGTTTCAATCGCCTCTATATTTGTACCGTAAAAAACAAGCTCATCAAACTGACTGACTAATTCTTTTCCATGGTCAGATTTCACTTATCACATATAAATTTATTTAGTTTTATCTATCAAATATACCCTTTTAATAAATGACAATATGAAACATTTATACTCATTAAAATTATGTGTACATGGTGTGAATGATTTGTCTACGCAACACTTAGTTTATTGATTGTAGCAAGAAACTAGAGAGAGCATTGATAGTAGGGTTGAAGCACTCAATTAAGTGGTTGTATTTATATTGATTTTTATTGACTGAAATTTAAAAACACTTTTCGTGTTGTCGATAACTTTCGCAAACTCCAGTTTAATATTAGCCAATAAAACAATAACAGAGGAAGGATTTTTAACGCTATAATGGCTAATATTTCCAGATTAACCATTGTTTAAAATACAGACTCTCCAAAACGAGTGGTCATACAAATTATTTTGATTTGAAATTTGTTAATAAAAGCAGAAACTGTCACATCAATATAAGTTTATCATTCTGTTATGGATCATAAACAATCTACTCTTTCTCACATTTCTTCTATTCTGATTCTTTTATCGTTTAGTCCGTCGTTTTTTTCCCAGTTGTATTTTCTCTATGCATTATTTTGTTAATTAGAAACTCAGAAAAAAGTATTTTTTTGTTTTGGTCAAGTTTCACATATACACATTAATTTGTATGATTGATCGGTCAAGATTTCGATGTGGGATGAATAAAAATACGTATGATTAAGTCTTTTTTTAAAAAATGGTATATAATGTTTTCAACTATGGATTTCCAATCATTTCTATTAGATCTATTAGATCTGTTTTAACGATTGATTGATATTTGGAGTAATATTGAAAAAGACTAGGCTATTTCTTTCTAGCTTAGTACATATTTAAATTGGAGAAATTATGTAATATAAGTTTGTTGGACAACAAGCAAGTTTTCATGATGAGGCATGCTTAAGATTGCACAAATGTTCAACACCAAGTCGAAATATCTCCGTAAAATTACCTCTACAAATAATTACACAGTCATTATACATAAGTTCATTGATTTCAGGTCAGTAAGTGACCAGTGGTTAATTTGTTCACATGACTATGTTTCTTCTGACAACAATCTTGTCATTATGATTACTGTTCTTTTTGTTAACATCATGATTTTCCACCAAAGAACTAAACTGTAAATGACGTTTAGTGTTACAGGAAAGGAAAAACTTGTATACATTGATATTAACACATATGTAATCATTTTTCAAACAAATATGAGAGTGAAGGCTTAAATATCAATGTTCCTTGAACATTGAATATATTATACATATGTTTTGTCTACTTACTGCATGATAGTTGGTTTGTATTTCGTTTTTGATAAGTAAAATTATCATCATCATAGTTTGTGTCATAAGTGGTTGTAATCAGTGATTTTACGTTAGATACACGAAATTTTATATGAGCTAGTGGTAAAATATAACAAATATTTACTTTTTAAATAAGAAAACACAACTATGATGATTTATTCAAATGCCTTTAATGAAAGTATAATTCACCGGTAACCTGGAGTAAAATCAGTCAGAATTAAGATAACGCCTCATGTATTCTGCGCGAAATTTAATGTGTAGCGATAGATAACTTGTATGATAATAATAAAGACGTAAAAGTTGTAGATTTATGTTTTTTTGAAATGTTTGAAATTAATAAAATGTATTGTCATAAAACCGAAAAGCAAATTATTAATGGTGCTTCAGTTAATTTAAGGAACATAGCTGCCGTTAAGTTAAATTTTTTTGTTAAAGCGCTTATTATAATACAATGTATTGTCAGGAGTGTTTAGTGAGGCAAAATGATATCCTCTCCTTCTAACTCTCACTATAAATGTCAACTACAAGTGTCTTAAGTTTGTGAATAAAGTGTCACAAAGCATTCTATCATAGCTGATGTGAGTTCGCGGTGATAATCCTAAACCTATTCTGAGAAAATCAATTCAGAACTCCAGCTTCACTTTCAATACCTAACGCGAAACTTCTCCTTTATAACCGGTCTTACATGGGAAAGAAAACTCATTGAGGTGATTACCTTAATACATTACACTAACCCGACATTGAATATATAAACTTAACCTCTTTCTTCCAATACAAAGAATAATTCGTTATGCAAGGGCTGATTAATCAATTCAAGCTATTATTCCACTGATATTTTATTCTTTTCACCATTGCCTGGTTGGCTGATAGGTCGCTCAAGGTCGCTGATGTGTCATACTTTTACCATATCTTTTCATGAGGATTGATGGGTTTGGATAAGATATCTGGTTGTGTCATGGGTTCACGATATCTTACAGGTATTTTGAGCGGATATTGAGTGGTATTTTCCCTAATATGTACACAAGACTCACTGTACTACGCATCCTGTATCTGTGTTACCAGCTTTACACGTATTGATTTAATAATGATTGCCCTGTTTTATTTTTAACAAACCAAGTACATATTATTGAATTTTAACAGTGAAATAAGTATTATTCAGTTTAACTGGTAGTACGCCTCTTTCCAACAGTTATATTACTTGACAGAGCTAACTTGAACATTACAAATGAATATTTTAACTTGAAGAAACTGTAGCACGATGTCTTGAGATCGTTTACTTCTTTTTTATCCATTGGAAATTAATCACAAGTACAAAGTTGATAATTACCTTACACTTCTAGTGATTTATCACCCATAGAAAATTACAATACACATTTCACTGTAGAATGTAAGCGGTTAGGTAAACTCATTACAATTACAAAGTAGTAAAATCACTTACAAATCAGTAGTCAATTTTTTATTTGAAAAAAAATTTGAGATAATTCTCATCTCCTTTTTTTATGAGATTACACATACAGAAAATTAGCATTTCAAAAAATAACTCATTATTTAAGTGGATAGTATTTATTACTTCTCCATTTTTTAGATTCCACACTTAACAATATTCTACTTGACTGATATTTATTAATGCATACATTCATATTTCAAATATGCTCTATTCAATTTATAATTAGGAATGCACAAAATACTACTTACTAATCAGTGTAATTATTAAGTAACTTTTATGATCATTACAAATTATTTTCTATAGCAATTAAAGTGTACTGATTTACTAGTTTATCAAAAATGTTAATAATAGTCTTATTCATTTGTTCACTCTGAAGAATATTTCCTATGGAATATTATTTAGAATGAATTGATTCTGCATGCATGCGGAACAATACTAAAGGGATATGTATGATTTCACTTGGGATGCATAAGATAGGTAATAAATCTGAAATAGCATATTATTAATTAGAGCATATAATAAGTCTTATATATATGCTTAGTCAAATATATATATATATATATATATATATATATATATATATATATCGTATTAGATGATAATTATACCAAATAAATTTAAATCGGTTATATGGAAACTGCTGACATTATTATTATATCTTATCATTACCGTACGAGGTTCTCAAAGACTGTTCGGTCGAAAGATAGTTCACAGCTAGATAATATTTTTGAAAAGAAATTTCAGAAGTCAGTAGTTTGAAAACATTGCACATACTCAATTGTAAATGTGTCCACATGAAATGTAGTTACTCCAAAACTAATCCTCATCAGATAAAAGCATAATGCCAGACAAAAAAGATTGGAGATTATAGGTGATGTTTTTTTTAAGAAACTTTGAGAAATCTTCATTTCATGATGAAGGTTTCTCAAGCCTGTATATTTGTTTTGTTGTGAACAGGATAAACACCAGTAGTACTCTTCAGTTATTGATAAATTAGTTTTCAACTTATAAATCATACTCCACCAGCCGGAGTCATTTCAACAAGTCGAAGTCAGTAGTCTGTAATTTTCAGACCAAACCGGTGTGATAATAATTATGGGTAATGATTTAGTTGACTAACTAACTACTTAATTGAAATGTTATCGACTAATATATACAATTGTTAAGTCAACTGGTTAGTTGCTGTTTATAAAACTCAACCTAATACTTGTTAATTTATTTTTGTTTCATTTTAAACTTAGATCAACTTTCCACGTTATTTGGGCAAGCTAACGTCATGGAATCATTTGACTGTTATGCCTAGAGATATGCAAGTATGGGTTACAAATATTGACTATTATGATAAATTAGGTCGAGTGTTACAAGAAATATCATTCAGGTTAGCTTTTTTTGTTATCAATTTATAATTTGTTATATGTGGATGTTTAATCTTATAGTTCGACGTTTTATTCCATTGAGATAACAAACACAGTGATGATATTTTTGCCGATAATGTAAAGTGAAATTTTCCACAATAAAGTTATTTGTTGAAATCATTGTTAGATGACCATTAGAAACTTGAGAGCACTGGATTGATTAAAGTTAGACAATAACACCGTTGGATGCCGGCTCATAAGTCTGGTGGTTATGCGTTCGCGCATGAGACCAGGAAAAGTCATCAACAGCGTTTTGTTAAATAGAATGAAGGACTCGTAGATGCCTAACTTCCAGATCAACAGGCTGGATTTTGTAAGGATCGATCATGTACCGGCCAAATCACAATATTACATATCAATGTGAAATAATCAACTTAATGGAACTCACCACTCTACATCAACTTCATTGTCTACGAGAAAGCATACGATAAAGTAAACAGGAAAACACTTTGGAGGCTTCTTCGAAACTACGGTAAGCCTGAAAAGCTAGTCAAAATCATACGGACTTATTATAATGGATTCAACTGCAAAATCGTTCAAGGAGGACAGCTGACCGAATCGTTCGCGGTGAAGACCAGTGTCAGGCTAGGTTGCTTACTCTCATCCTTTCTCTTTCTCCTGGTGATCGACAGAACTATGAAGAGGTCAACATCTGGAAGAATGGGATTGCTAACCCTACACCCAACCGTATACCTTTGTCCGGGCTTGTGACCAGAAGTAGCCCAGGAGGGGGCTCCAGGAGGAGTTTTACTAGTGATAATCAAGAGATATTTGACATATTTCCTTTTAATACTCTTAGCTCGATACAAGTTGGATTCAGAAACTCCAGAAGTTATTAATTTTCCATAAGTTTGAATCTAATTATCAACATATTTTCAATTCATTTACTTAACATAGTCCGTTGTCATATGTTTTCAACCTTCACGTGGTTGATTACAAAAGTCACACCTTTCCATCAAAGCCTAATAAAGCTCACGTTGTAGAGGTTTCTTTATAAGATTTTGTTTAATTATTGCTTTATTTGGCATGATTGGTGATCAAGAAGTTTTTTTCTGAACATCTTCAATTTTTTTTCTTCTTTATTTAGTGAACTACAAGATTACATCACATTTTCAATACTTCACAAATATGGTGGATATGTTGATCAACAAGCTGCACAGTTAAAGAATAAATTTTTAAAACCATATGCAGGTAGGCGCCTACGAAAAAAATATATTGATCATTTACAGTCTTTATCAAATGTTCAAATCTTACATAAGTCCTATATATTAATGCCCAAATCTGATTTTAGATCGAGAACCTTCAAGTTAATGATTGTGAATAATAGTAAAATAAATTTTTCTCAGCAGTATTCATCATTTTATAGATTGTATTTCAGTCAAATAACATTGCTTTTAACAGTTATATGAATAAATTTTATAAAAAGCGAAATACTTCATCTCATTATCACACTCATAGTCAGATTTTTTAAAAAATCTCATTTTCAATTTAGAAGCATGAAATTTATGAATATCAGTTACTCTTAATTGCTCTTAACAAGAAATAATTTTATATTTTTTTAACACCATAAAACGACTTGAAATATTCAATGCTGATTCTCAGACAAAATATATATATTTTACATTCGATCTTATGAGAATCATATTCCTCAATATTCTTTATTACAAGTATCTTCTAAGAGTGTTCAATCGAAAATGTCACAAGCATGAGTCTACTTCGAAAGTCATTGATATATATATATATATATATATATATATATATATATACATAAATTTAATCTATCATCAGCAGTACAAATGTACATTTTGTTCTTAAGATACTTTACGCATTTAAGCCGATAAGTAATTTTGAGGTTGAACAACGTCTAGTGGACAAAGAATTATCATTTTGTTTTTCTTATTTTAGAAAGCTTAGGAATAGATCAAGTCTCTTATTGGCCATTTTTGTTGGATTTAGCTTCACCAGGCTTACAACAAATTCTTCAAAGTCGATGGACTTTAATTCAAATCAGCCATGCAACGAAACAGGTAATTAACTAAAAGAAAAATGCCCTGTATTGATATTTTTTGATTACAGACATTATACACTGAATAATTTAACAATATTAACTTCATCATTTCTTGAGCATTTTACTTTTGAAATGTAAATTCCTCATTAATTCATGTTTAAAATTTTGTGGGTCTAGCCTAACCTGAACACGAAGCTGAATGATATGTGTTTCAACCTTATAAGAGCAATCGATCTACTCAATATCTCAGTACACTTTAATGACTGGTGTCAACCAGAAACAAACCTAGGTCGAATGCGTTTTCCTCCTAACTTTCTCAAACTGTCTGATATCCTAACATACTGCATACAACATTGAGTCACTCAAAGCGGTGGTTATATTACTACTTAATCTAAAGAATTCACTTATCACTAGAGGATTAAACAAACAAAACCTTGGTCGCTGCGTAATAAACAACCAGTTATACATTTTCTTCATGTTAGCCATAGATTTTAATGTAAAATTGAAAAAAAGAAGCACATATATTCATGCTTAAAAATATGACGAGACATTAGTGAAGATTCCTTTGTTATCCTTACTGTATTGTATTATCGATCATTGCGGGCCACGAACAGAAGGCCATAAACATTAATTTCTTGTTTAATATTATTCACTCTCACAATCGCATTGCAATATCATCAGAGTACTAAATGTTTATCTAAAGATTCCGAAATTCCCTACTCATTAATGAGATCATCGACTCATTTAGCAGTCTATGGCTACCTTTCTATTAGATTAAGGTGTTTACCTAAACAATTCCTACTGAATAAATCCATACTTATTACTATACAGTGGTAATCTGAGCATCTATTGATGGTATTACAGTCAATCACATTAAAACTGTTTTCACCCTATTAGCATTGCCAGCATTTCTCAACTATCATTTTAATTCACACTTTTAATTCTTTTTTTAATTCCAGTTTCAACATGAAATATTCACTCCTGTACAAATAATAATGATGAAATTGTTGAATAAGTCCATGCCTGAATCAACAAAATGTTATCAGTTATTAAATAAAGTAAGTAAAAGTATCTCTCCGTTTTTTTAACTCAAAAAGCATTTGTACCTTATATAGATAATCGATGTCTTGATATCAGGAAGAAAATTATTGTACTTTATTGAATAAAAGTATCTTATCAACATCAGTATAGCTAAGCTAATTCTTTGTTACTGTGTGATGAGCAATTTGTTCTTAGATTTTGTAATTTGCTCGTTCAGACAATCGTAACTAAATGACGCCTGACGGTTTATAAATCAGAAAATAAACCCTATGGGTTGAATACACTTACTTTCACACACCACAAATATAACAGCAGACCATAGGCATGCAAAGATAGAATCGATCTGCTGTAGCCGGAATGCAAGCAAGCCAACGAATTGGCGAGTAAGCGAATCGGGAAATCGGTGAATGAATATACATAGTAAAATGTCGGAGTCGTCAAAATATTTAAAAGATTAATATTAAAGCGAATAGGATGAGTATACACGTAGGCGTAAGCATTGTTTAGTCGTACCAGCTCATACAAACCGAACAATAGTAAAAACCAATGTTATATATAAGTTGTTGCTATACAAATGATTTGGTTAAATAAATTAATCGAAAGGCTTAATTAAATTAGATATAAGCGAACTCAGATGTATGTGAAGGCACTACAAGTGCATCAAATCGACCATCATAAATTATCATTCGATCAATAAAAATTTGTCTCGGTTATGTTGAATAGCATATTGGTGATATTTGCAATGGTCCGAAAAAAGTCAAAAACAATTTATTATCAAATAAAACCGCTATCCACCGCCTACTCGGTTTTTAGTAATTCATTAACAGAAGTCTTTAAACATGGAATATATTTATAAACGTAAAATGTTGAAAATTGACTGATTACCGACGTTTAAAAATCAATCTAACTAACTTAACTTATCTACTTTCTAACCACATCCCAATTTGAATCGATAAATGGCATGGGAATATGTATCTATGTCAATAAGCAGTAGGGAAAAAACTCTAAATTGTATGTTTAGAATAGATTGAATGTGTATGGTAGTGGAATCCAGGAAGCGTGTTTTGTTCTATCAACAAGGGAATATTCTAAACCATTTCAAATTCAATTAAATCTCATATGCGTTGCACACGTGAGTGGCTCTCTGGACTCAGTAGCTAGGTGGATAACATGATGGCGTTTGAAGCGAGCGGTATTCGGTTCGAATCTCGGATTAGATATCAATTATGGGATGCAGGTGCACCGAACTGATAAGTCCCAAATAGAACGAAATACGCATCTTGGATTCCTCTGCTAGTCACATTCAATCCATCTTATATAAACTTGTGTCATAATGACCATATCGAGACAATCCACACAGAATTCTCATTTGCCAAATGAGACTGGTGAAATTTCAGTCAAAATATCCACAGTAGGATAACCGAAACCATTTCAAATCGATGGTATAGTTTGTAATGGCAGTATAAACTTTTATCCTACGTTGATTAACTGCTCAAATATAATCACAGTAAAGTGTGAAATTTATAGAAATTTTTGATGTATAAAATCAGTACCAGCATTGAAATGAAAGATTTTTTTTGAAATTTATTTAAGTTTAGTTTAACTTACACTACCGATGGACGTCAGCTAAAGCACTATTGTCTATTCAACATTCCAGTAGAATCTTGGAACTGAGAAAGTTATGAATGATGTTGTTGGCTGGTGGTGACGAATTATTATAAATGAATTGTTTGTAAAACTACTGATTTTCAACTCAGTAGTTTAAATGCAGCATATTTACACGGAAAAGCGATAGTTTTATGTTTAACTGTATGTGTAATTGTGAATAGTAATTTTTGAAGAGTCCCATATTATCACTGAAATAATCGAGAATTAGTCTATTCTATTTTTCAAAGACTTTTTCAACATAATTTTAGACTTCGATTAAAGCTAACTGCAAGTGCCTAATTATTATTATTATAAAATCGTAGTTTCTCCCCGAGGATATTTTTGATCGAACTTAGTGTACAGATTTCTAATTATTTTTCCTATTGATTAAAGTTCTATTAGAAGAGATGTACATTATAATAAAACACATATTTATTGAAGTATATAACTTTTGTTTAAATTTTTTTTCTCAGTTGAACAGTATGAAAATTCAACTCATGTCATATAATGGTCATGATTTAATGGAAGATTTTTATTCCGAGGTAAATCTCTCTGTATTTTGTTCAAATACAATATAACTAGCAATATAAGACTTGGTGGATAGTATTGTTCCTGTTTTAAACATTTATAGATACAACTGATTAAGCACAATCAATTATTAATTAACTGAAGAAATGGAACTTAATGACAGAAAGTCAAGTAATCTAGCATTAGTTAGTTGGAGACAGTTAGTAGGCTTTTTATGATGAATGATGATTGTATATATGTAATGAGCATGTATAAAAAGTATATTTTCTTTATGAATAGATATCATTTTACGACCTTTTAGATGCTCATCATAAATGGGACAATTATTCCCCATATTTATGAAAGTACTACTGAATTTTCTATTGTAACTGATAGCAAGAAAGGACAGCTAAACTTGTTAAAACTGTGATTTCCCCAATGGGATGTAAATATATCGCAGTTTGAGTGTAAACAGATAGTACATTGTGTCTTGGAGGAGTGTGATGAGCAGTGTGTAAGTGATGAAATCTAGAAAACAGAGAAGAATATCACTAAAATATAAACTAATGACTCAATTCTAATGCCTGTATACACTCATATATAAATATATATAACAACGAACGAAAACAACTAATAATAATTAGGCTTAACACACTAGTAACATTAAGACAATGATCAACCCTATTGAATTCAGTCAAAACAATTTCTTCTCCTTTTGTGTTTTTTTCCCTTTCAATAATTTTAGCCACGACATCCACACACATAATTTGTGGTAATTTTCTAAATAAACTTTCCTTATCTAACCAAGAGAACATGAAGACATGTTTCTATTCTATCTGTCCTATCTATCTCTCTATCTATCTATCTATCTTATCTTCATTTAAACAATTCTAGATATTTACTTTAATTTTGTCCTCATTTTTTTTTGTATTTCTCAATTTGTTTAGTTAAAAATTCAACCAAGACAAAGTCTTTTAATGCAATTAGTTCAATTTAATAATTTTTTATCTAAGAAAGCATTATCTACAGATTTGTCGAAATTAATTCCAGATCATGGGTGAGTTGAAATACATATATACATATATACAAATAGGTATCATTAACTTTTTTGTTGAATGTATGTAAAACATTTTATAATTGTTTGTTATTGTTGTGCAAAATATATCATCAACATCATTTCTTGTTTGTTTGTTTGTTGTTGTTGTTTGTTTATTGAATATGTTAAGAAAGTTTTAATTTTTTTAGTTGATTGCATAATTGATTGATTGCATATCTTTGTTTTTCGCGCGCGGGGTGGAGGCGTGTAGATCGATGTGGATGGGTGAGAAGAAGGAGACTAAAGACTGTATTTTTATCCATCAAGTCATGAAAAGTAAATAGAATAATTCTTTTTTGAGTAGAGATAATTAATTATTTGAACTGGTTATTTGCTTTTTAGTTAGCTTTTTTTAAACAAAAATATAACATTTTTTTGATTGGCGTGTTTCATTTATGCGAGTTGGTTTTCTGCGGAATCCGGGGTCATCAAGCACATGCCCAGCCTTTCTCCTTTTCTTGGGCTTGGAACCGGCAGTAGCCCCAGAGGGGCTCCAGGCAGATTTATTTAAAAAGTAAATTAGCAGCGATTTTGTAAAAAAAACTACATGATTTCATCATTAGTTGTGATTAGCTAATAATAATTGAAAATGGATTGATCATTTTAAATTTTTTCGGTTATGCGAAATAAAGTAAAAGAGTAAAATCCGAATGAGCTTGCCACATTGTGGTCGATTCTGAGCTACATGACCTAATGTAGCTTTATTGTACCGAGCCGAAGCAGGTAGTTCCCAAGTACTAGCATATTTCTGACCGATACTCCTTGGCTTCATGGAAAGATCTTACGTCTAGGTTCAGTTGTCTTTATTTTTCCTTCATCTTCCCTACTGGAGAATTTCAAACGGTCATAGTATTCGATAGTTGAGAACAGGTATTACATGTTCCGATCACTTCAGTCGATGAAGATTGTTTAACATTGATTCACTCGTTATTTCAATGTGTAAAAACACCGATCTTCATAATACTATAATACAGAAGATTTAAAACTTTATGGCGATGAAAATTCAATATCTTATTGAACTTCATATGTCACTATACTGAGGACCGTCGCTACAAAACGCGAGTCGCTGCCACAATTTCTTTATTATTCAAAATATATCATGACTCATACAAATATCGGTTTTAATAGAAATATATATATATATGTAGTCGATACTGCCACCGAATTAATTGGATAGTTAGTTAATCGATAAAACTAGTCAGATGACTATGTACGTAGGCGGTAACCAATTCTCAAGCCTAGATGAGTAAAGACAAGTTCAACCATAATAAAAGTACCAAATAAACGTTACAATTTCCTCATCAAATGATTTACCAAATTTTTTTCATTATCCTAACATCAACATTGATTAGTCGGTCATTTCATGCTAATGTGTAAGTCAGCAATCCTACCTTTCAACTGTAAACTTAATTATTTATTTTGTCTTGACAAGACAGAATTAACTAATGCATGTTTAATCTTTATTTTATTCTAAATATACATTTTTTTTCTTCACGGGTTACACATAGTGTGTAATCCTGTTAGATTGTCATAATAAAGACTCACTTCATTTCTTTTTTAATCATCAATTATTTTCAAAAATCATTCAGTTAAACAATGTATTTATGTATTTATTTAATTACTAATCATAATAATCATGTTCATTAAGGGATACATGGATAAATAATTAACAATAATAATAATAATAATCATAATAATAATAATCGTCATGCTATTCATTATTATCAATTATAGATGTTTTGAGTAAACTATTGAATATTTAATTTGATTTATGTTAGATTATGAAAGAAATTAATCAGAATAATAGCAATAATAATATTGATTCATTGCCTCAATGATTTATCCGTAAACTAAACATGAAAAACACTTTTCATCTAATAACTACAATCATTATATACTACTTATATTATTGAGGGAAATAAAATTTCAGAGATTAGTTTTGATTATGGATTAGTATCCTTAGGGGGCAAAACAGTGTAAGTCATAGAGTATTAAGCTGTTGTTTCATCTTGTTTTGAGATTATTGTGTTCGATATATCTATGCCCTGTATGATTCTAAAGCAGTTAGATTCCGTGACTAGCCCCATCACATTGGAGTTATTGATTAACGAACTTCAGACATGCGGAAGTTGTAAAGTTATGTCAAAATGACAAGAGCAAATAGAACTAAATTGTATTTTGATTGAATAGTCTTAAAAAAGATCATATTCACTGATTGGTCTGATAGTTATAGGTCACGTATGTGTACACTGATACAAAGTCTTTTACAATATTCCATTCTATTCAGGATTGCTGTAGTTGAGGATAGTTTGAGATAACAATCTGGCTTCATACCTTCACATAGCTGTCTTTAAAAAGTATGATTTAATTCATACAGTTTTCAACTGAATTGTTACATAAATATTTACAAGTTTCACTATTCAGTGATCGATCGATCGTCAATATCCCAGTCATATGAGAGGTCATTAGAAGCCTAAATAACGCAATTCTAATATTTCAGACCCGGAAACTAGGTGAGTTTAGTTCGAACCCCACTGACAGTAGCATTTTCATCGAGGTAACAGGCATCGCTTGATGATGGTTTCCAAATAGCACGAAATCTAGATCCACGGTTTACTTCTAACCCTCTCAAAACTCCTTAACGCATTGAAAAGAGGGAAAAATATTGAAAAAAACTTCGAAATTTTAAGTTATTATTACTATCTTACTATTTTTGCACCAAAGTTCTTTTTCAAGGTGCAAAGTTACCAACCTCTTACCTTGCTCTCCCTAAGAACAGGTAAATAACTCTAAAAAGGTTTCAGCAGAAGTTATTGCATTGATTGTTGTGTGTTCTTTTATATCCCAGCATAAATTCAATTATCTCACTTACTCACGCCTGTTATCCCCAACGGAGCATGGGCTGACCACCAGTTTTCTCCAACCAACTCTGTCCTGCGCTTCCGTTTCTAGTTCTTTCCAGTTTTCGTTCATTCTTCTTATGTTTGTCTCCATTTCTCGGCGTAATGTGTTCCTTGGCCTTCCTCTTTTCCTTTGACCTTGAGAATTCCAAGTGAGGGCTTGTCTTGTGACGCAGTTCGGTGCTTTTCGTAATGTGTGTCCTGTCCACTTCCACCGCTTCTTCCTGAAAAATTCAATTATCAGTGTACATTAATTGAGTAGTTATTATTCACTGTCAAATCTACAGATTTCTTTTCATAAAGCTGATGAGGGTAGAATAAAAATTTGTAGATTATAAAACGATCAATCAGTTATGATCAATTATCAGCGACGTACCACTAGGATTTAGGTATATCGCTTTTAGTTACTACATCCAATAGTATTAGAAGTAGTGGCTATACTAACAATAAACGATTAACAGTTTCAAGACTGAGTTGTGCATTCGTTGTTAATAAAATAAGCTGACTAAAATTCTTTTTGTTTCAATTGGATTATGGTTGTCGGTGTTGAATGACAATTGAATATTAAATTTTGACTTTTCATTTAGTACTACTGTTCATTAAAATGTAAACAAATAGTGTTAATGGAGGATTTTGAATGGAATAAAACTATCAATCTGTAATGGAATACCATTCAAATGTCAAATGTAATGAATACGTTGATGTTTATATTGCAACTAATTTGAGCATTGATTTCAGTTAATGGCAGTCGATACAAACAGTTTTGCATTATAGGGTTGTACGGATTGTTGAGTTACATTTCGAAATCATGAATCGATTAACGTTATATCACCATTAGAAACCTAGAAGCACTGGATGACCGTTTACACCCTGGTGTGGGACTCATCAGAAGTACACATCCACGACTCCTGCTACTCGCGAGGTCCGAACACAGGATCTTCGGTTTTGCGTGCGAATACCTAACCTCTGTACCACCGAGCCTGTTCGCTCACAAAACCGACGGTCCTGAGTTCAGATACTGAGAGTAGTAAGAGTCGTGGACACGCACTGATGATGAGTCCCGCACCAGGATGAAACGGTCGTCCAGTGCTTCCAGGTTTCTAACATTGATCGATTCATGATTTCAAAAATCAAACAGGTTCAAATCATCCGAACTAAAATACTATTTAAATAAAATGCTACACACAATGATTAATTAACTTTTTAAATCACTTTTTTCTGTTTCAGTCTTAGTTCTGGAGGTAGTAAACTTTTTCAATATATCGAAAGTTCTAATATAATAGGTGAGTTTAAAGTGTAAACATACATTCATTTTACAATGTGCTTAAATGTTTCCTTAATTCCTTTCTCTTCACTAAATAATCAGTTGGTCACCTTAACCTCAACTAACTCTCGATTCTACTAAATAGAATAATAATTATGGTAACAATAGCTGCTCTAATCTATGCTCTAAAAGTCTCAGTTTAGTATATTTCAACAAAAGTACGTTTAAATTATGATGAATGTATAGTTTATATGTCGAGCACACATGGCTTGCGTAAGCCTTTGGACAAACTGACTAATTCATTCTTTTCTAATTACTATCCAACATGCCTTTTGACCTTTTATCGCTGTGATAATTAATTCAGAGATAGGATTATTAAAGTATGCCCACGAATGAAGCAATTTGGAAAGACCGATCTGATCCGAATAGATTTACTTTTTATGCAAAATAATGTATGACTAAAAGCCTATATTTGTTCCGCCCCATCCATTGATGTTTGAGTACTACATCCTGTGAAGTCCTTAGTTCAGTATTTGATTGACTAGTTTCATCTTAATGTTCCTCCTAAAATGTTATTCAAATTCTTCTCTTTATATGAGGCAAACTGTCTTTTACTTACAATTATTCTGGTGTTACTGAAATTTATTAAAATAGCCAAGAATAGTGCATAGCTATTTGCATCACAGATAACAGTTGTTGAGGGTGTTAGATCCCCAGAACTGGCTTGATAAATATGTTTATTTTGGATTTATTTCATTGGCCAATCAGTTGACCTTGAGATTTCACTTCACACCAGGAAAATCCTTGACTGTAATTGGTTATTGTGTCATTTTAGTGTGCTATTTTTGTGACTGTCCCAAGGACGTCTCTATAGATTATAAATAAACGTAATTTGAGTGCTTGGATTCATTATGTGCTGGCTGGATGTTTGTAGAATACAATTTCTACACTTCTACACTTCTCGCTGATACAATTTGGTCAAGGGATCACAGTAGCCTACCTGGACGCTGGTTCATTGTTTAGTTCTCGTAATTCGACTAAGTTGAACCGGTATAAGTTCTAAGCATACCTAGAGACGAGCATTTGAAGTACTTCAATTAATGACTATGGAAATAAATTTTAGCTCATTGGCCTCCTATCAAATACAACCAACGTCTAGATCATTTCAAAGTACTATTTAAAAATAAGCATAAATACTTTGTGATTGTCAAAATTTTTAATCCGTTTTTGACAAATTTCTTTTATACTGTAAGAAAATGTTATTTTTTTCCCGAAAGCTGATTATTTCATGCATATTCTTTCCATATGTTTTGTTTTCTCACACATGTATATTTCCATTGAAAGAAATTTCACTTCTGCTGTTACAATGGCCTTATTTTATGCCAGATTTATCAATACCTAGGTAAGTGAATTTCAATACTGTGTTTTAAATTCATACATGAAACTATTTATTGATCAAAATACATTGATCAAGATACATTTTACAATAAGTGAAATTGTTTTTATTTTTATCATGAAATCCATCTAGTTTACAAAAGTGTGATTAAAGAATCAAAGAAAATAGAAATGTCTCGTAATCATCGACAATGCTACGATAGGTTTGACATCACATGAGTCCATTTTCTAACTGATATTGTTCACAATTTCTCCTTAATTATAAGCGAAAATTTACTTTTATAGAATAGATGAATTGTAGCTAGTAGTGAAATCTTGCACGAGGGTCTCATTTTTCTTGACGCGGATTTACTGGACATGTCAATATTGAGACTGGAACTCAATACATTTCAGTTCACTTGTTCATATGTCATTCATTGATTAAGATTTAGTCTTGACATATCAACAACGAGAAGATTTAAATCTTTACCATGAGTTCACTTATTCAAGAAAGCATTGTATGCTATACACTACCAGAGAAGGCAATTGAAACAATATAAAATATTCTTAACATTCCTTGAAATAACCGATTTGGTTTTTACATTACAAAAACTTTTATATTCTAACAGTTTAGCCGGACTATTATTAAACATAGTGTATCTCTTGTGACAAAAATTAAATAAGATTTGTTAAATAGAAAAACAAATTAACAAAATCATAAATTTGCATAGAAATTTAAAGGTTTGAATCAAGTATATTTTAGAAGGTAGGAACATTCATGATCCCCTGTTGAACTAAAGTTAGACAGTTTGTTTACTAGTAATTAATGTTTATTCTGTAATGTTCAAGTTTCCAGTGATTTAACTAACTTCGATTCAACCTTTTGTTTACTGGCGATAACGCTGCTACACTTATATTGATTTCAACAGTCAAGTATTATTACTAGAGATATACCTCAAAATGCTAAGTATATAAAGCTATACTTGACAAATGAAATGTTCACAGTATCAATACTGACTGAATTCTTTGAATATGGTTTCGAAGAAATGACCACTAACAGTAACCAATATTTTTATACATTAAACTGCTTACATTTGTTGATGTATGCAGATAGGCATGATATATGGATGCCCAACCTATTGTTAAAGCATCTATATATATCTTCAATTAACCGTTTATCTGTATTCAACGGAAGATTACGTCAACCGTTCGTATAATTAAATTCTGAACTACATTAATATTCAATATTAATGAATAAACCAATCAACATTCTATCACAATTCTAATCAATTTAAATGCCTTTTTTATTCTTCTACCAGATATTTAAATTTTGGATATTTATGGTATTCACTGGCAAAAATTATTTCAGGTATACTGATTGATGATAGTAAGTAATATAAAATATTTTAAAGAAATTTTCAAATATTTTTCTCAAATGTGCATTACTATTTCATTACAGATTATATTCATATTCAAAAAGTTTGCCATCATGCTTGATTCATTCAGATTACTGAGAATTATTATTTGGTGGATCTCAACTACGTTCGGTTTAAAACATTTGCCCAACAATAACAATGGGTGACTACTGTGCTAATAAATTATAGTAAATCTGAAAATCTAGGCCAACAGATTTGTTTCTATGAGTTTTTTTTACAAGGACATTACAATGTCCTATGTTTGACATCATATGTGCTTGTGCGCGCACGTTGCATACTAAGAAAAAACAGCTATTCAACTATCCATTCCTTCAGTTGACATTAACTTGTCATCAAAACTGACTTTAAATTCTTCTCACTACTTCAACGTCAAAAGTTTGAAATGATAAAGTAGTAACCACCGTACGAAAAATTAAACGTGTGATGTGTATTGAAAAAAATACTGGTTTTTCCTTACATTAAACGAACTGTGTTAATAATGTTTCCATGTTTAACATTGAAAATGATGTGTTCAACGTGTTCATTTCTTTATTCGAGATAGTGTTCGTTTCCTAACTGCTTCGTATAACATTTTGATTGTTCTTTATATAATGTTCATACCTAAATAATTTACTGTGTGATCGAATTGTTATTTAATATAAATTGAGTTAATGTATACCAATGTAATGCTGAAAAGCTTCCGTTTTATATTAACTACTTTAATTACATTTATCAAACTGACTGACTGTTTTAAATTCTTAATTAATATAAACGATTTATAAAGATTCCTTCTGTTAAGCTTTCGATACTGATCAATCAAGCAAAACTTTAAGAAATACCTTCAGATCAGTCGAGAAAAATAAGTCGATTTTCGAACAGTGAGTTGGTATTTGAAGTAATCAGAGTCTATTTTAAGCTTCATTATCAACATCAACAGTGAAATGTTGATACACCTAGATAAATAATCTTAGATAAGATGAAATATTTGTCCAAAATTCTATCAAGAAATACATTAAAAGTGTGAATTAATTTCTGTACATTTTCCAAGAGTAAGTATTTTGTTTCGGATATTATTCCTCGAAAATCTCTAACTTCATTTTAATTATGCATATCGAATAATACAGGTGGAGTCTAACTGCTACAAATGAATAAAGCCTATTATGGTACAGAAAAATATTGTTTGTATGTGTAGCTACTTGCTCAATATTAAGTAGCTTAAAACAGTTAACTAAAATAAATAACTGCCAACATTCGCGATACATAAAAAAACCTCCTGAATCAATAGTAAAGTATTCTTCTTGATATTTATTTTCAGATTGTTTGGATGTAAACATTTTCCATCAAGATGAACCGGATGAATTTAATCAATATGTTCGGAAATTTCTGCTGGATTCAAAATTTTTGGTAAATTATTATTTATTTTGTTGATTAGTTCATTTAAAGCTAGAAATTGTTGCTAGATATCTTTTCATACTTTGATATAAACTCATTTATAGGACCTAATCATATAATTGAAAGGAATTAATTAATCGCCATATATATGATTGTTATAATGCTGCTATGTAGCTATTTGAAATCCTACCGACTGAACAAATTCAAATATTACAATACGACGCCAAATACTGTTCCTAAATCTCCACTACATCATAACACAACACAGTTAGAAGAAGTTGTTTATGGGGTCGAGTACAGAAAGAATGATAAGCTTTACAGATACTGCATATTTATACAGTTAGGTTGAATAGGATACAACAGTTGAAGTGACATTGACAGTTAGGACGACCATAATATTGACCAGTAGGAATCGATCAATAGAACTAGACTTCCTAAAGTATTTCTCCTAGGATATTTGATGAATATCCTAACAATAATATGTGCTGTAAAGAAACACTTATGGTTTAGATGCATTGACCTTGAGGAACAGAATTTCATCTAACACAAACAGAATAAGTATTCTCGACAAATTAACTGGACTATGTAGCTTGGTTAAATGACAAAAAATCGCATTCCATTTTGTCTACATCAGGATAAGACAGGTAAACCATGTTAGATTCACCAGGATGACTTATCCAGATTAGATTAATATTAAAATACTGTTTTGTCTACTCGGAATAGTTATACATGAATGCATAAAAATTTTCAACAATTATACCAATAATAATTAGCTTATGACAAGAAAGATTCCTATTGAAGGTGATGAAATCAAATCTCATTACAGAAAAGAAGAATAAAAGCAATCAGTTGAGTACAGCAGTACGGAATGAAAGCATAATAACTAATAAAGGACCGTTAAATTACAAATAACCAGTGGATTTTAGATAGGAGTTATCCACAACTATCCCTTACTGATAAAGTGACTACGGTCCAGCTAGACATGTATAGTACAAATTTAGTCAAGGTTAGTATTTGAAATGAAATCTCAACTATGAATTACACTTTGGTATGCAGCATTCATTCAATAAATAAATGGTAAGATGATGACAAAAAAGGTTTTTAGTAAAGCACATCTGGTAAAAATGAAAATGTTGCTGATAATGTCAACCCAAAAGATACTAGAAATAAGTTCTAGCGCAGACGTCAAGCATATTACAGACTTTAGGGAAAAAATGCATTTTTCTTCTTAAGAAACAATAACATCACCACAACTAACGATGTTCAATATTGCTGAATTGTTTTAATGAATTAATTCAACCCTAATTTCATTGATCATTGATTTATATTTTTAAAAAAATTACTGTGACTATGTATTTACAAGGATACATTTTGAATTCTATTTGTGATTTAAGGATCAATGGCTAATTTGGTCTAAAACATCAAATGTCTTTCAAGCAATTTTAGCAATCGAAATCACAGGTCGAATATATAAAAATTATCTATCTGTGAATCATCATCAACCAGACTCTAATTTGCCAGGAATATTTTTTACAAATAAAGAATTATTCTATCAATCGATATTTCAAGTAAGTGAATGACTGAGACAATGAGCAATAATACATATTGTATATACATACATACTCTTAGTGTCAGACTCATTCCAAAATATATGAAATGACGATTTAATGTTTTCATCAGACTCCACAATTATATATTCAAATGATTCAGCCAAAAATTGATCAGGTTAAAGACAAAATATATCGTTTAAAATTACAGCATGTAAATAAATTCAGGATTGTCGACGTTGAGATGATAGACAAATTTTTAAATAAATAAGGAAGTTCTAACTGTATTAGAAAAAGTCTCTGTGCATTCGCCTACAGTTTAGAGGCAATTCACGTAGTGAAATGCTAATACTAAAGTTGTACAGAGCTAGTGCAGGTAAATTACAATTGATATTTTCCAACGATTACTCCAAGATAAAAAATAAATTCCGAGACCAGTCACCTCTTTCTGTATCTACCAAACGAACAGCTCTTGCGGAGTAAATTATATTGGCAGATGTTCCATAAATCTGTATTTTCATGCGCTTGAGCACCTCCCAGTGTGGTTGGGCAACGGCGTGTAGTCAAATATGTTGATAGCCAGAATTCTAGCTCTCTTGATACATACAGGCCAACACAGAGTAATCATTTCCAATAATGAATCGAGTTCACACTAATCCACATAAATATGTGAGACTAAGAATTTTTCAGATGCCTATTTTAGATCAAAAAGTTGAACTTTCGCACGCAGAAGAAATATGTATAACTACCGCTTTAAATCTTAACTTCCAGCCTAATTAGCAAACAGTCGTTTTGATGATGAATGTTCATACATCCTGCTCCTTTAGATTTCTGTTGCTCAAACTTATCTCATTCACAAATACTTTTATTATGATTAACATCCTTATTATAATGCTTGTACGCGTTTGGAGAAATTTATTCAGTATAATTCTAAACGATATATTTTCTTTTAATCCCGAGGACATTTTGAAATTATGAATTTATGAATAAATAACTATAGAAATTTATTGAAAAAGAATATTCTTCGTTCATATATTTTCTAATTAATTGGGAACTTTTCACCAATTTCAAATTTCCTATATTTTCTACACATTACTTTAATATAAGCATAAACCATTTTCCAACTGCTTATATATACTTTAGTTAGTTAGCAAGAACATTGAAAAAAATGCTCTAGAAATAACGAATTAGGTTTTAATTTAACTGATATATGATTAGTATTGGAATCTACAACACATTTCCAATTATATTTGTAACTAATCAACTATTTGTATCCGCATCTCAAGGTTGACTTTTGTCCACTAACTTTTGGGTTATTCACTGAGTCCAGATAGATATTAACCTGTTCAATGAGTATGAAGGCTTTACCCACCATTTTTAAATTCCCGTTGTTGATAACAAGGACTACAATGGGATCCAAGATAATTTGGTTGGTGTGTCCAAAATAAGACAAAACACTTGAATCCAATTGCTAGGCACATATTAAACATATTAAAATTTATGATATGTGGAGTCAATCTCCTCACGATCAACGTATGGCAATGGAACTGATCAGCATCAGTCCCCCTAGCAATGAGTACACACAAAATCTCGGAACTCGTTTCTCGAGCAGATGGTCCACCTGTATAACAGTAAGATGGCATTTAACGGTGTTAATGTTTAATTTCAATCAATTTACGATATCGTACAACCAGAAACACTAGTCAAGTGATTCTCGGTATTCAATATTAGTCGTCTAGTTACGATCAATTTGAGATTTTGGCTATCATAATCTAAAACTTAAATGTTTTGCACTAGTATATCACTAAATTATGACAAACAACGTCTACTCACATTGTATTATCTAAGTTTAAAAATGGAATAAAATGTGTTTTTGAATTTCGATTACAAACAATGAGACGTATTTTTTCTTTATCTTCTCTTTATACTTTTGAATCTAGTTGATTTGCCCTGGATTTGACTATGCCAATATTATAACACATAATCATGTTTTATTACATAGTATCGATGAGTGTGATGCAATTCGTACAGCAATAAAACTATCACCAACATTTAGATGGTTTATGGAATGTCCATGAAAAGTATTTAGCAAAAAAAATTTTCCTGTCCCATATATATATACTACTCAATAACTTTGTAATGAGATATCATAATATAAGAAATCGGCACCGATCAACTTCACACTGTAGTAGTAGTAGTAGGTCAATCATGTTTCATCATCAGTGATTATTGGCTTTCTGTATCGATTCAATCACACAGATAGACTGCTAAGAAATGTTAACCGAGAAAAACCGGAGGACAATGATAATTCAGAATGGAAAAAATTCATCAAATTTTGTATTTTGATTCATTGGATTAGAAAAACAATAACCTTGTGAATCTTATCAACTTTATTCAACTAAAGAGTGTGTACAAACTAAGTCTCCAACTCTTTAAGGTGTTTGCTTAACCAAGAAAGAAGAAAGACACAGAAGAACTCAACAATTATGCACACAAATAAATCATCATTTACCTGTTGGGCAATTGAAAACAATGCAATCTAAAACTTTGTAAATTTGTCTGAAAAATCTCACATTCCTACCACAAGTTCACCGACTGTGATCAATTCAAAAGTTTATTTTCTTTTTTAATCAAAAACAAAACACCCACCATGTACCGTTAATTATCAGACTTGAAGATGAGAATGTTTTATTTTTTAATATGTAGAGTTTCACCTTCCTTTTTTTTTAAAAAAAAAACACTGATTGCATAATAATTTGGTTCATGTTTATTATGAATATCACAATGAAAAGAAGTAAAGCACTGTATATATGACAATACGAATATACAATTTCTTGTTAATTTATTATACATGAATAAGAAAAAATAACAAGAATTCCTTTTATTTATTAAATAAATGATGAGAAAATGTATAGAAAACCTTTTTACTGTTTTGGACTAGTTTATGATAAAATTCTGAATTACGAATGATACGGGAGGTCTTTCTGAGACAGAAATTACAGTAGAAAAACTCTAATCTTTAGACAAATAATGAAAGTGGCCAATTTTACAACGGAAATAACTCATTATGCACTATTAACGATCTGTGGGATAGTATAAGTTAGGAGAAAATTTTTTATCGATTTTAGAACTGTGATTTAAATAAGATTTATATAAAAGCCATTTGGTAATGCGTCAATTTCAGTTTAGTGGTATATTCTCTAGAAAGGCATTTTTCAGGCTATGAAAATGTTAAATTTGTTAGCTGTCAATGATAAATCAATTTCATAAGTGATGAACAACTGATTTCACAATATGCATCTATTACTTTCTATATTGAAAAATATTGTTCACAATGAATGATATTTCAACTGTATCAGATGATTTCATTAGTCAGTCAGTCATAATCCATCCATCTTACTTAGGATGAAAAGATCAAATCAACAAAATGAATGGAACAAGAAGTGGAATTAATGTTGTTGTATCATTCTAACTACTGATCGCAGTTATCAGTAATATTGAGCAAAGAAACTCAAAAGATGATGGAATATAAGCTCTGGATTTCTTTACTATGACTGATAGTGAAATTCATCTTTAGAGTAATAAAGTTGAGTAAATTATAATATTTAGTCATTGTCGTCTACAATTCGATGCACTGACACTGCTCAGTGAAAATGTCTTGCAAACTCAACTATTCAACGACGCAATTAAAATGAGTGAATAGTTGTATTGTTGTTATGCTCGTCGATAAACGAGAACGGGACAATGACCCAGTGATACGGTAGGTTACTCTAAACCGTTGCCCCAACTAACGGAAGAAGAAGTCTTGATACGCAGCAAATAAAATTATCTCAAGCACACAAATCGCGATTATTCATACATCATAGAAACGTCCTTGGGAGAGTCACAAAAATACCACACCAAAAAACCACAGTAACCAATCACAGCCGAGGATTTTACTGGTGGGAAATGTGATCACAAGATCAACTGACCAGCCCATGAATAAAATCCAAAATTAAAGCTTTTATCAAGTGAGTTCTGAGGACCTAACGTCCCCGACAATTGTCAAACTGGTTGAATAGGTATGACCATAAATCAAGTTTCTTTATGAGAGTCATTCGACTGATGAAAATAGAGACACACAGTACATAAACAGCCCACTTACTTAAAATAGTCAAAGCATATCTATGCATTTCGTTTAGAATGTTGACTTGTAATATTCTAAACTCAGTTTGATTACTCTCAACATACCAAAAAAATAAAACAAGATACTAGATTTTTGGAATGATGTACTACTATGTGTTGTGTTGTATAAAACAATTTTAATGACTGATGAATACAGTTGAACTATTGATTACCATATAAAACATATGGAATGTTTTTATAAAAAGTATGTTTATTCATTAGAGTATTTATTTATCATAGATGGTGTAATTAATTAACTCCGCATCAGTGTTTATAAACATATATAAAGCACACGGTGGTTAGTACATTGAAATGAAATAATCACAAAATGCTGAACTGAACTTGGGCTTTTAAAATGACAATAATGAATATACTCATTTTTTGTAGTATTAAATAGGAAGTTTGAGCATTCAGAACTATCCTACTGAAAATTACTGTTTATATTTTTAATCATATACTTATTAGACGATTAGATTTTTGCATGTTTCATACATCAACTGTTATTTGCTTTACGTTTGATGAATAACTATGAATCTTTCTTTCACTTATAACATGGCGTAGATGTTGTAATTTTTTATTTATGATGCCAGCTGGTCAGGTATTTGAGACAGATCATTGTATACGTTTCGGCTCATGAACCAATAGAATGCATAAGAAGTATTATATTCGTGTTGTCGAGCTATCGAAACAGAGAGTATAAAGTTGCATCGTGGATCGATAGGTGTCAGGTATAGGTCTCGATTGGTATCCTACATTTATTCAGTCACTGATTGTACGGGAATGTAAGTAGTATAAGTTTATAACAGATAATAATTATCTGCTCTAACAATCGGTAACTCAATCGTGCGGCCTTAAAAAATGTTCAAGAAATTTGATTTTGTGAAATATGCAAATTTGTGCAATTGAGCAAGATGAAGAGATGTAGAACTGATATTGTGTATTTCAAAAAATGACAACTCAACTCCAAGTCATTTGACTTTATACTGTATACAAACTTATAGTTATGTAACATGAATGAAAGCTAAATCAGACCTGTTCAATAAAATCAACCCTTACTGTTCATCTTCACAAACAAACATAACACTAATCACTTACTTTTATTGGAATCGAAAACGGCTAGAATAGGATAACTTAATTTCTGATAGTAATAATAATATTAATCTATCGAACAGTCAGTCAGTCAGTTACAATGTAGAACTTCATACGTACGTACCTAAGTTTAGGTTGTAATGCCATATTAGCACAGACATGCAATTGTCAGTTCAAATCCCATAGTGGTAGAGATAGTAGAAGTATGAGTAATAATGGGAAAGACTAGAGTTCAAAGACATTATTTGAGAACTATAATTCAGCGAAATAAATTTAGAAAAATTGAAGTAATGAGGAATTCAGAAGATTAGAATTTCAGGGAACACACAAAGAACGGATGCACCTGCGCCATTGCAAACGATTTTAAGCCATGTCGTTCAAGGTCTTCAACCGTTTGGCACAAACCAACCAGGTAGTCTAAGTGTATCATACAAAATGGATATTTAAAAGAGCAAATTAATTTTCTTCTCTTTCAAACAAAGAACAGATACTAGTTTTAACAACATTTCTATTCTCATTCAATGTTCAATAATTCATCAATTAAATTCAAGCCAAAATGTATGCACAACAAACATTCTTGAGAAAACAACGGATAAAATGCAGTCATCATTATTGTTATTTTTAAATAAATAAATAGTAAAAAAAAAGGTTACACAAAACTAAGTTATGTAAGAAAACAAAATAAAAAAGGACAACAAATGGAGAGAGAGAGAAAAAAAAACAAATTAGATAATTCAAACAAAAATCCATATTAAAAAAATATCAATTCATTTTATTTTTTGATATGATTTATCAAGCTGGTTGATTGTGGTGTTTCTTTATTCTCTTCTGTTAATTGTTTCATTTCATTTGCAATCAGCAAAGCTACATTACGTCCACCGATTATAGCCATTTCCATACATGATGCAGCAGATTCAATGGCATTTGGATAAAATACTCTTGATGCTAATTTGAATTGACCTAAATCGGTGTATGGATCACTCTGTAATAATTAATAATAATAATAATAATAATAATAATAATAATCATTAACATAACACACAGTTTATTTGAAACAATGGATAAAAACTAGTATATATATTGATATTATTTCAGTGAAGCGGTAACTTTTGTTGAAATAGTTGGATGTCAGGAAACAGGTAGCCCATAGTATATTCAAGAAGGTCGTCGACGGTGGAAAGTGTCAAACGAAAGAAAACAACCATGTTAGATACCATGAGAAAAATGGCGTCGATTAAATTTGTGGTGTTTCACACATTATGATTAGTTTTTTTGTTAAGAGTATAACGTCCAAGACTACAGCTACGAATGCTTCTACTACAGAATGAAACGATTGAGCAGGGTTTAAGGTTATCAAGTTTCTTGTCATTATATATTCGTTCTTTAAAGGACAGTCTTGATATATTTGTTTTCCTGTTCAGATACCTTCAATAACCTCGGCTATTATCATTTGTGTCTTCTGATTTTGCCTAATTAAAAGATCTTTCTTCGGTGATGTTCAAATTCAATTTTTGACTTTTGTTCAACACAGAAAACAGTTCTCAGAATTCAGTTTTCTCTAGTTCATATTAATGTCAAAATGTTGACGCGTATCAGTTGCTGTTACATTCAGTCCGTTTCTTTTATAAAAAAACGCTCAATAGTTTTCCGGAATCGGCAACTAAAGTTTGTCTGTACCGAATTTTACTATCAAGAAACAATACGAAAATATCCGAAGCTCCATTCGTATTCTAATCTCTTTTTAAATAGTGCAACATTTAATGCAGACTGTTTTGTCTCAAATCATTTCCCTATATGCGGGAAACATGCATGTAGACATACTAAGATCTGAAACGCCACATCGCCTGTTTAGAGATTAGAGACTTAGTATTATGATTTCAAGCTGAAGTATGACTGAGAGGAGTAGTGATACAACTAGATTACTTAAGCTGAAGTAGGTTGAACAGGATTCCAATCTGGGATATAGGACGTCTTAACCATTGAGATACAGCTGTTGATTTCAACATGAACGATACAAATGGATAAGGCATAATAAAATAAAGTATGCGTGAACTTTCACCGATCGATAGTTGATGTAAGGATGAACTAACAAATGATGCGTAAGTGATATCTGATTAAATCATTAGCTATTGAACAGATTATCCATTGGCCTATATTGTCATTTTCATAAGTCAAAGTAACGTCAACTGACAGTAAAAGTAATACTCTAAATCTTTGCATCTACAGATATTAAATCGAAGGAACGGCCAAGCATAGGTGTCATTTACGACAATGCAGAATTGATCGTACAAAGATTATTCAAAATATACCATAAACAAATATCAAATATCATATCACTTACAACAGGATGATAGGTTGGATATGCCAGCCAACGTACAACATCGATTTGATTGTAATTCTGCATTAATTTCGGTAAAGATGTCTTTGGATCTGGCAAGTATTTCGATTCAGAAAATATAGTCCAAACACTATCATTATTGGCATCTGAATTGTTAGATTTAACTGGTAGTTGAGATATAGAACGCACAGGATATTTTTCATGTAAATAATAACTTGAGGTTGGGAGAAAAGATGCTAATTGATTAGGTTGTAAACAATCTAAATGATTAAAAACATAAAACAAGATATTAACTAGATAAACTAGTGAATATTAATTGTTACATATAGAAATAAATTACCACGTAATGAATTGCCAATATCAAGGGTAATCAATTCTCTAAGACACAACAGGAAATCAACATGAACTATGCAAGTGTAGCTACTTACTTAATGGTAGATCAAATAGGGAATAATTGATTTGACCGGATAAAAATGTACGACACATCTCATGATATTTTAATTTGGGCAGTTTAATATCATCGGAAGTAGAAATATTCGACTCTTGATGTAACGGTAATGACAAGATGACATAATCAAATAATCCTTCTTCAGTTTTATTACTGTCGGCTAAATCATAGGATAAGCGTAATCTGAAAAAGCAATTTTTTTGCAATGAAATTAAAATAATAACATAATAAAAATAATAATAACGAATAGTTGTGGTGTTTCGTTCTTTGAGCTGGATGTTTTGGTTGTGGAGCTTTCATTGTTCTTCAACCACAACCAAAACCACCAGCTCAGAGAACGAAACACCACAACAATCATTCACCTGAGCTATAAATTTTCTTCACCATCTCAAAATAACTAATAATCTTTCCAAAGAATTGATAAAAGAAATATTTTTTCATATATCTACACGTTCGCGTAAAGTATTTTCAATGTGTTGTCTATTCGGTTACTAAGTGAAACTGTTACTACTTTTACTACGTTAATTTGGGTATACATGGGAACCATAGACTAATGGATAGTTGGTTTATCTCACTATGGGACTTCCTATGATCTCACTAAGGATTGAAATCAAAACCTTCTGGTTAGTTAGCGTAAATTCAACTATTAAAATCAATGGACTGGTTTTTTAATGATACAATTCTAACTTTAATCGATTCGTGATATAGGGCAGAATTTATCTAATGTCATCTAATGTGATAATTATTTTATTGACATTGTATGAACTCCACCAGTTACAACATCTGATTAGAATTTCAGGAACATCTTAAAGTAACTTACGAGTGATCTGGATGTTATGACTTCGATGACGAGGTACTGGGGAGGGTTATTCAACTTGTAGGTAGCATTTGTCAACGACTGATCTGGTTAATTAAATTAAATATTAAACTTGAGAATCTGTTAGGATATTCATCCAATATCCCAAGACAATTATTGGTGAATTCCTATTGGTTAATCCCTACTGGTCAATTTTATGGTCGTCCTAGATATCAATGTCACGTGCTCCAATGTTGTTTCTTATTGGTTGTCCTGACTATCAATGTCACTTCAAATTTTGCTTCCTATTGGTCATCTTAACTGTCAATGTCACAGACTTTGATGCTGTTTCCTATTCGACCAAAATGTATAAATACGCATTATCTGTGATGTTTTATGACCAGGACCAGGACCCGGTCCCGGATCCTCAGTCCGGGATCCTGATTCTCTTCTGGACTCGGACCTCGTACTTTCTGGATACTTGTAGAATACAGGTTCTACTTCATATCAAATCTTTTTATTTTAACTCAATATGGGGGTTGGGATCATCAGATTTGAGTAGCATGTCATGTCGCCGGATCCTCGATCCTCGCTCTCGTTTTCCGACTTGGTAAATTCGTAATAGTTCAAACATATCAAAATGGCACGTTTATGTGCAGGTGTAACAGAATTCTAGTGGTAATAATATAGAAATCAGGTTAGTTAATTGAGAATCCCCGAAATCAATGAATTCAGCTGACAATGAGAACCAACTTTGAATTCAAGATTTGATGAGGAACATCCTAAACGTGCGTATCCTAAGGAGAATATTAATTATTGATGCTTAGTGCCTATATTTTTAAATAAATTATGTTTGATACGTTTAATAAGCGCTACTTAGTAGTAATGATACTATATTACGATTAAAATAACTCGACTGAATAATAATTGTGAGCTAGAATAGCCTCCACATAAGTCTTACAGTGTTGGAAAGAGTAGAGAAAGATTATGCGTACTAGAATTCCAGGTTTATACCTCATGGACAGAACAGTATGTCCTGAAATAAGAAAGATTAACAACGAAGTATCTCCAGGACAATTTGTGAAAAGAAGTTAGTTTCCATTGAAAATCTGACTGTGTTTAATTCAATACACACTCTGACTAGGACCTCACTAACTAGTACAATAATAATGAGTATTTAGTAGCAATAAAAAAGTCATTAGAAAAATCCGATTACCTATCATTATCGGTTCGTATAATCTTCTTCACTGTAGCATGTATAAACTCTTTTGGAACACCAGCAGGATTGCCGGCCAATGCACTTTCAACTAGCTTTTGTGGAATTTGTTCAGCTCCATTTTCGACAGTGTATACCTGAGATATCATACAGGCGGAGGAAATCAACCCTAAAATTCATCAACCAAAATGCAGTGGAAAAGACTAAGATCAAAATTATTTTAATGTCTAGCTTAAAGGCTACATTATCTACTGATATATTTCGTTTAGTCTGAAGTTTATTAACATAAAAACCGAATATATAAAAATACTACTTATTTTTTATTAGCCAATGAGTAAACGCTGAGATAAATTACATACGTTTAACTATAAAGAATTATTATTTTGTTACTGTTATGATGGACAGTGTCTGAGATCTGAAAATCAATACGTGCTAACTTCTCCAAAACTGATTAATTCAGCAAGAAGGTAAGAGTGGGAACGAAAGTCCATTTGACCTAATCATATACATATATATATATAAACTCAATATTATATAAACATTCCATCCCCTTGGAAAATGAATCCTTTTCTTGACTCATGATCTGCATTCACCCTTTAGGACACTTCTGATTGTAGTCAAATGACCTCATTCGACAAATTTTCACAGGCCTACAATATTAGTTACCGTGTTAAATGCATCTTGTACTTTGATATTGTACGGGACATTAGATCCCTAGAACTCCCTTGCAAAATGTCCTAATTTTGAAATTATTTATGAAATTTTGAGTTTTTATGTTTTCGCGCATAAGCTGCCTAGTTGACCTTGAGTAAGGTGGACTCGTAATAGTTTCAAGCATATCAATTGACGAGTATATCAGGTATATTTACAAAACTGTAAAATGTTAGAAATCCCTATAGTAACAAAAAATAAAAGCATAAATAAACGAACAATATTGTATTTAATTAGAGTTCGTCATTGAGATTTACTCTAATATGTATGAATATATATTCATGGTTATTTGACAATGCAATTAATTTGAGTCAATCAACTGTTGGGGATGTTAGATACCCAAAACTCGCTTGATAAATGCCTTATTTTGGATTTAACGTTTGCGAGCATGGACTGATCAGTTGACCTTGAGATTACATTTCCCACCAGCACAATCCATGGCTGTGATTGGCTGCTGTGTATTTTAGTGTGCTATTTTCGTAACTGTCCCAAGGACGTTTCTATGATGTATAAATAAACGAGAGTTGTGTGATTGATTGTATTGTGATTGCTGGGTGTTGTAGAATATACTTTCTACGCTTAGCAAGACTTCTGTTTTACAGTTTGGGATTCAAGGTAGCCTACCTGGACACTGGTAATTGTCTCATTCACGTTTATCGACTAAGGTGAACTCGTAATAGCTTCAAGCGTACCTAGTGACGAACATAACATCAACAGATTGCATAACCGGGAAAAACACAAGTTGATGTCATTTAAAAAGAATTCTAAAATAGTAAATGCTTTATTCAATAATCGAACATTGAATATAGATCAAACTTGGCCACAAAACGTAACATTATGCCAAGTGTGTCGGTATAGTCAGTTTGTAAAGAATATAAACCGAAGAAAAACAAAAAACACTTTCAAAATCAAATATAAATAACATCAAAAGTAATTCATTAAAAAAGGAATTAATTCTACAACAATAACTCACCAACAAATCCATGAGCATCCATTGAATTTTGACAATAATTATTTGAAAATATTCCAAATGCAAATTCATTGATGTATCTTTCATTTAGACCCATTTCTTTACGCATCCATTCAGTGAAAGTGTACTTTGTCATTTCAGGAAATTGTTTGGATAATGCTTTCAACAGTAGACCAGGTGTAGTGAAACATTCACCACGATTTTGTAAAGTATAAATTCTATAAGTAAACAAGTAATTCAAATCACACTTAGATGCATGTTGATTATAAATAGTTCATGAAACATGATTATTATTATTATTATGAAATCTTTTAATCCGACAGAATATAAATAAAACTGATTAAACACGATTGAAGCAATGTTTTTGATTCGATAGCGAGTGGTATACGCATGTGTGTGTCAGTCAAAATACATATCTAACCACTAATCACATGCGTAGATCTGATTTGTTTAGCGCATATCATTTTCTGTAGGGTTCGTCACTAGGTACGCTTGAAGCTATTACGAGTTCACCTTAGTCGATAAACGCGAACGAGACAATTACCAGCGTCCAGATATAGCAACCTTGAATCCCAAGCTGAAGACAGAAGGCTTTGTAAGCGTAGAAAGTATATTCTACAAACACCCAGCAACTACAATGCAATCAAGCACACAACTCTCGTTTATTTATACATCATAGAAACGTCCTTGGGACAGTCACAAAAATAACACACTAAAATTCACAGTAGCCAATCACAGACATGGATTGTGCTGGTGGGAAATGAAATCTCAAGGTCAACTGATCAGTCCATGCTCGCAAACGTTAAATCCAAAATAAGGCATTTATCAAGCGAGTTTTCGGTATCTAACATCCCCAACATTTTCATGATTAAATTTTCATTGAATATTTCATCAAATGACAGAATAAATAATCTCACAGATTACTGATGAAACAATTACGATGTAACATCATTAATCAAGTATCTTGATCGTAGTTATGAAGGATAGTTTGTTTTAAAAAGAGAATTCTATTATTTCTTAATAATACGTATTTTTTGTCCCCGATATTAATGGTGGGATTATAAAAATCTTATCATGTCATTTGAATAACAGATGAATTATTAAACACAGATTGATATCATTAACAGAGAGCGTAACATAGATACGCAGTGGCTGCTTACTCGCACCCTTTCGATGGTTGATTGGATTATCTCAACGGGAGCACGAAATATAATGGGTAACGCCTCAGTGGCTAAACGATTTGGACATTGCAGATCACATAGCTCTTCAATCTCACAAACAGTAACAAATGCAGGTGAAGAAAGCCAGTGCAGCAGCAGCTTCACGACGGCTAAGTCAGCAAGTAAGTTGCCATACTAGATTAGCACGACAAGATGAAATTAACAAAAGGAGACCAAATTCATAATAAACTCTAAACTTTGAGAATATGGTTATCACAGAAACATACAAAAAGATTAAGGAAAATATAAGCATTCATAAAATACAAAGTGGAAAAGTAGATCAATGAGCAATAAATAAGACCATCGATATTTAAAGGGAGATTTACGTTAAATGATAGACAATGTAGATTATGACATGAATGTGTATCAGTGGTAGGAGGTTGATGGTATCTTGGATAAAATAAACAGAGCAAAAAGTACAAATGAAAATCAAATTGTAATAATAATTTCCATGACAGTGTAAGCCAATTATGATAAGAGATATAGTTTGGAAGGAACATTCAAGACCGCATAATGAAAAGCTGGGAATGATTCGAAAGAAACTCAGAATTTAGAAAGATACAGAAGAAGACGGCAATTAAGTTACAACAATCTACTCTGGTCCACTTTGCACAATACTAAAGTCTACAATATAATATATCACTGATGGATTAAGCAATTCCAGGCTTCATATGCTGCTACGAAACTAGAACAGGTGAAAAATGCAGTTTATGGGGTTGGTTATCGTGAGTAAGCAGAACATCCACCTGTTCAAAGTCCCTATGCATGTAAGTACATAGATCGGTTTATATATTTTAAATATATATACATATACTGAATTCACATATATGGTCGATTACAAAAAACGGTTCTAATATGTTCATAATCTTGTTACTCTGTATAACCAGCTATACACTATAAAAAGTATGATTGTAACTACAGTGTAGTGATAGATTAAAACAGATATAATGTGAGGGGAGAAATTCAATATACTTAAGATATTACCGCCCTATAGAATAACTGTTATTATAGCTCATTGTTTCAGCATTCACCAACCAATGAACCATTACATTACCGTTTTCCACTTTACTCCAAGTACTTTGATTTCAGTGAACAAGTAATAATTGCAACTTTATTGAATAAACACAATTCAAATTTTAGTACGCATGCTTGTCAGTGGACTTATAGTGATCATAACGCGTTAATATTTAAGTTTGGCATATGTCTGAAGAGCATCATAGCTTTTTCACATGTTAAATAGTATAATACACTCAGTATCATCTCATCATTAATATTATATCAGTAAACATAATAGTAAAATTTATCTAAACTTTCTTACTGTTTGAATTCTTGAATTTTACCCATAAGATAAAACCTAGCATGCAACAAGCTGAGGCCGTAACGCCAAAATAAACGAAGTGGAGTTAAAAATGATGTCTTTTGAGTAACATCGGAAAATACTGGTTTATAACCTTCTTGAAATAGAAGTAAACGATGATCCGCAGTTTCAATAGGATTTATTGGTATTTCTATGAGAAAAAACAATAAAACAAAAACACACACACCAAAACTATTATCTAGACAAAAAAAATAAACACGGAAAACTTTCAGACAATTGTATTTACAATTGAAATTGTTAGACCATCATTAGAAACCTGGAATCACTGGATGGCCTTTTTGTCCTAGTATGGGATTCTTCAGCAGTGCGAATCCACGACCCTCGCTAACGGCGGAGTTCAAACCTACCGAATGTAGGCAGTTAATTCGGAAGACAATCAGTAAGGTTGCGTAAAACCCTAGATTAATCAAAGTTAGATGTTAACACCGTCGGATACCAGCTCAGTGGTCTAGAGGTTGAGTGTTCGCGCGCGAGACCGAAAGTCCTGAATTCGATTGCTGCGAGCAGGGGTCATGGATTCGTACTGTTAAAGAATCCATTACTAGGACAAACAGCCCATCCAGTAATTCTAGGTTTCTAATGGTGGTCTAACAATAATCGATTCATCAATTCAATCAAAAATAACGATCTCCATAACCCTATAATGAATTTTATTCACAATAATTCATCCCATGAAAATGGATCAAAATCATAATAAAAATTGTATATTTTTATTAATCTGATAAAAAAAATTGAATAAGAAGCCTAGAAAATAAAATGATTGAAAGTACGAACAATAAAGCGACCAAATGTGTATATCCCGTTCTTAGGAGATAAAAGCCAATCCTTAAACTATCATCACATGTCAGTCAGTCAGATGTAACGTAGAACTTTGTACGTAAGTACATCAGTTCATGTCGCCATACCACATCAGCGCGTTGATATAATTGTCAATTCAAATCCAAAAGTAGAAGAGGTAGTAAAGGTATTAGAAGTAATCGGAGAGGTTAGGATTAGAAGATATTATTCAAGAAGTATGATTCAGTGGGATAAGTTTAGAAAGTTAAAACTAGAGGTGTTAAAGAAACAGAAGATTAGGATTTGAGAGAACACAAAAATCGACGCACCGGCGCCATTGCAAACGGTTTTGAGTCATGCCATTCAGCGTCTCTAACCATCGATGATGATAATAATCATCTCGCGGACCCCAACCAGGTAGTCGACAACCACCGACATGGCTAAGTCCACTCGTCAATGACTTCATGGATTTGTGCCATGTTTTGGTCTGGCGGCCCCTAACTTTCTTCCAACCTATTCCTACACTACAAAACAAAGCTCGTCGAGGCAGTCGGTGGTTAGACATACACAGCACATGTCCCAACCACCTCAACTGATGAAGTTTCATTACGTCGTCTATTGATCTGCCATTCTTACCTAGTACCCGTTTCCTAATAACAACGTTGCTCACTTGCGTGTCCCACGATATACGAGCAATGCTTCGAAGACACCTATGGTCGAAAGGCAGTAACCTACGAATCTCTTCTACTCTCACTGGCCATGTTTCACAGATATGTGTGAGTGTAGGAAGGATTTGATTGTGACCAATTCGGTCTCGTGTGCTGTTACGGGTATGAGGGTGGTTGTCACTTCCCGGCTGCCCACACCGTGAAAGGTTGTTTCTCAAACAAACATACTGAATTCTTGAGCAAATCTAATCATGTACATATTACTGGAATGAATAGTACTAGCTCCAGATTCACGTATTGCACCACAAAACGGTACAGCTTTAATACGACCACCGATTTGTCCTGATTTCTCAAAAAGTGTAATAGAAACTTTATCACCGAAAATTTTTCGTAAGAAATAAGCAGAACTTGCACCACCTATTCCTCCACCAACAACAGCTGAAAAAAAAGAAAACAGTAAACATGAATCAATGTTACACATTTAAAAATAAAAATGAAATAACTTGCATCTTTAATAGTGAGTGTATCAATGAGTTTAGGAAAAAAATAGTACTAAAACAAACAATTCACCTCTTGATGATTTTCAATTAATTTGATCATTCTCATAACAATGGGAAAACGAGTTAACTAATAACTGAAACGATTAGAATAAATGCTAGTTGTAGTAAAAACAATGGGGTTGTGAATTTCTATCAACTTAAGTGGCTTATGTATGCGCGAAAACCGCCTGTCTAGATGTATGATGTTGGCTGACATAGTAGCTTAGTTGGAAGAAAGCCAAATCAAAATGTGGCATCAGTCCACGAGATCACTAACTGTTTGACTGATCAATGATTGTGCATACAGAGTATCTGGTTGAGTTATGGGCGATTTTTGTGATCAGCTATCAAAAACAGTAGGCGAAATCGATCATGATAATGTAGATCTATTTACACTTTATTTAACCTAAAGATTCGGAGGTTTTAAAATTGTTTTATTCAGTTACTTAATTCTTTCATCTCGAAGCATTTATTCCATGACTAATCGTTTTTACAATCAATTCATACCAATAGTTTGATATTCATCTTAGGAATTTCATCTCGCTGCGTTGACATGGTTTGTTCACTCGATACAAACTTGAGCTAGGTTATACGCTACTTTGAAATAGCTGCATAGTCTATAGTGAAAATAGGCAAAAATATGACCAGTTTCGATCACTGTACTGATGCTGGCAGAAGAGATTTAGTAAGGTGTGTACAAATATTTAGTTATCATATCCCCGATGTGATTCTGCTCTTACGACTTTAATGTTCTACAAACTAGGGTTTGGATATTCTAGCATAATTAATCAGACTAAACGAGGCAGTAAAGATTCGAAAGGATAGGGACACTCTTCGTTGCCTCTTCGTCATATCAGCCTACGCCCCCACTGACTGCAGTCCAGACGATGTAAAAGATGAGTTTTACAGAAAGCTTTCGGACCTCCTCCAAAAAGTTAGGCACTCTGATGTAGTAATAATGGCTGGTGACTTCAATGCTCAAGTAGGTAGACTAAGTGAAAAGGAAAGACACCTGGGTGGATGTTATGGTGTCGCGGCTCAGAGAACAGACAATGGCGACTGTCTGTTGCAACTATACTCAGATAACCGCCTATTTCTAGCAAACACTAACTTTAGGCATAAGGAAAAACATCTGTTGACCTGGAGACCCGCAAAGTCGTCTCAACGTTGGACGCAACTAGATCATATCGCCATCAGCCACCGATGAAGGGGTTCGGTAGAGGACTGTCACTAGTTTCGGTGCACATTTCTAGATTCAGATCATGCCCTAGTACGAGCTCGTATCTGTTTGAGACTTACTGAACGTAGGAAAGACACCGTAAGGAAGCCTCTTAGGGCTTTACTTCATGATAATAAAGCTAAGAATATATTTCAGGAGCAACTAGAAAGAGTTAAGCAATCATGTAAGCGAGTCCCATCCGGAAGCACGTTGGAATGATACAAGAAGGCTGTGGAAACAGCAGCGATATCTGCTAGCAAGGTAAACCATAAGGGTAGGATGAAGCCGTGGATTTCAGTCGCATCCACCGAACTGATGGATGCTCGAAAACGCATCCCACCTGACTCTGAACATGAAGAGCGTAGTCGGCTTAGGCGCAAAGTTATAAAAAGCCTACGTACCGACCGCGAACAGTGGTGGGTGGCGAAAGCAAAAGCGATGGAAAAGGCAGCGGCGATAGGCAACAGTAGACAACTTTTCCGCCTTATCAAAGAAACCGGTATTAGGAACCCGAATGTGAGTGAGACTATCTCGGAAAAAGATGGTCTTATTTTCCATTCTCAATCCAGGAGACTGGACCGATGGGCAGAACACTTTAGGGACCAGTTCAACTGGCCTCGAGCCACTCTTCGGTTACCCACGATCCCCAGTCATCCTGAATGGCAAATCGATTTAAGTCCTCCCAGTCTACATGAAGTTGAGAAAGCTATAGGAAATCTAAAGGGAGGTAGAGCAACAGGTTCTGATAGGCTTACCCCTGAGATGTATAAGGACGGCGGTCCAATTTTAACAGTTAGACTGACCGAGATCCTAGGTAGAATCTGGGGACTTGTGACAATCACAGGGGAATAAGTCTAACCAATATAGTTTCTAAATTGTTAGCCTCCAATATACTTAGACGCCTTACTAGTGCTCTTGAAGAGCAGACTAGAGAAAAACATGTTCGTTTCAGACCTGAATTTGGTTGTATAGACCACATCTTCACACTACAACAGGTCCTGGAACACAGACACACATTTCGACATCCGACAATAGTCGTGTTCCTGGACCTAAAGGCGGCATTTGACTCAGTGGATCGTGAGGTTCTGTGGCAGTGTCTGTCATTGAAAGGTGTACCAAAGAAGTGCATTAACCTTATACAAGCACTCTACTCGAACACTACTGGTCGGGTGAGAGCATATGGCGAACTGTCATCTGAATTCTCTACATCAAGTGGTGTCCGTCAGGGCTGTCCACTCTCTCCATTCTTGTTTAACTTTGTCGTAGACATCCTGTTAGAGTTAACATTAAGCTCCTCAGATTTTTCAGGGGTTGACCTTCTGCCAGGAAAATCGCTTACTGATCTAGAATATGCCGATGACATAGTTCTATTCGGTGAAGACGCTGACAAAATGCAGAGTCTTCTGACTACCCTAAGCAACAATGCGAGCATGTTCGGGATGAGGTTTTCACCCTCGAAATGCAAAATGTTGCTTCAAAACTGGGTTGCATCGGCACCTGAACTAGTGATAGGGAGTGAAGTAGTCAAGCGTGTTGATCGCCTCACTTATCTGAGGAATCTTATCAGCGCTGATGGCTTGGTGACTGACGAAATCTCAGCTCGGATACAGAGAGCTCGATTGGATTTGCCAACCTGCATCACTTATGGCGCAGGCGTGATATCCGTTCGCTAACCGAAGTACGGGTGTACTGCGCAGCAGTTTGCTCCGTTCTCCTGTACGGATGCGAAACATGGTCGTTAAGAGTAGAAGATGTTCGTAGGTTACTGGTATTCGATCATAGATGTTTAAGAAGCATTGCTCGTATATCGTGGGACAACCGAGTAAGCAATGCTGTCGTTAAGAAACGAGTTCTAGGTAGGGATGGCAAATCAATAGATGAAGTAATGAAACTTCACAAGTTGAGTTGGTTGGGAGGCTAACAATTTAGAAACTATATTGGTTAGACTTATTCCCCTGTGATTGTCACAAGTTCCCAGATTCTACCTACATGGTTTACCTTGCTAGCAGATATCGCTGCTGTTTCCACAGCCTTCTTGATATCATTCCAACGTGCTTCCGGATGGGACTCGCTTACATGATTGCTTAACTCTTTCTAGTTGCTCCTGAAATATATTCTTAGCTTTATTATCATTAAGTAAAGCCCTAAGAGGCTTCCTTACGGTGTCTTTCCTACGTTCAGTAAGTCTCAAACAGATACGAGCTCGTACTAGGGCATGATCTGAATCTAAAAATGTGCACCGAAACTAGTGACAGTCCTCTACCGAACCCCTTCATCGGTGGCTGATGGCGATATGATCTAGTTGCGTCCAACGTTGAGACGACTTTGTGGGTCTCCAGGTCAACAGATGTTTTTCCTTATGCCTAAAGTTAGTGTTTGCTAGAAATAGGCGGTTATCTGAGTATAGTTGCAACAGACAGTCGCCATTGTCTGTTCTCTGAGCCGCGACACCATAACATCCACCCAGGTGTCTTTCCTTTTCACTTAGTCTACCTACTTGAGCATTGAAGTCACCAGCCATTATTACTACATCAGAGTGCCTAACTTTTTGGAGGAGGTCCGAAAGCTTTCTGTAAAACTCATCTTTTACATCGTCTGGACTGCAGTCAGTGGGGGCGTAGGCTGATATGACGAAGAGGCAACAAAGAGTGTCCCTATCCTTTCGAATCTTTACTGCCTCGTTTAGTCGGACGGCGCACAAACGACTATCTACAGGGATCCAGTCAAGGAGACATTGTTCTGCCCTACGACTCAATGCTATACCTACACCAGCGAGACCCCGGGAAGCAGCATCAGGGCTACCGGATACATGAAGGGTAAATCGAGTAGCTCCTTTTGCTTGACATGGTGAGGCCATGTGAATGATGCTACTCGGATCCTGTATTAGCGTTTCCGAGACGCAGCACACATCGATTGAGCGAGATTATAAAGTCCTAGCTAACGAAGCCTGTTGCCCTATTCAACACAATGTACGTACATTAAATGCTCCAACATGTAGTTTAGAACGGGGTTTCAGGAGACCAGGAATGACGTTTCGTGAACTCGCATCGTTTCCATTAGCTGTGCACTGTGATCAATGAATATGAGAAGAGTTAGTCCTGGAGATAAGAGTGGTACTAGGGGTGTAGGAAGGATTTGATTTTGACCAATTCGGACTCGTGGGCTGTTACGGGTATGAAGGCGGTTGTCACTTCCCGGCTGCCCACACCGTGGAAGGTTGTTTCTTGAGGGTCCTGAAAAGGAAGATAGATTAGTGTTGGTCTTAGAGACCTGGGTGAGTGACCGCTGAGTCCAAGGGACAACTGCTTGAGGCCAGCCACGCACGGCCTTTTTACGAGAAGTTGTTTGAGTGTTAACTCCGCATTTGAAAGCCCTTAGTGGGCACCCTTACCGCCGGAGACGGAAATCCGTGAGTTAGGGGAGGTGTGACATTTTTAGGGTCTACCTTTTCTAACCCTTCCTTCCTTGTGAGAAAGCAGCATCGCTGCAGATGCTGGTTGTCCGAGGGAAACACCTTACTACTGTCACACGCCTCTGCAGTCAGCAGTACGACTTCGCCCTCAGACCTTGAGTAGCTGCTTTTAGTCTCATAGCTCTCCAATCGACCTGCCTGGCATGGTAGAACCTTCAGGAACATGAGTTCCAGCCAATATAGCTCGGTTGGGTCATCACGATAGGCAAACCCGACCACCACGTCAAGGTAGCAGCTTCGGTCGGGTGATGATAAGTAGAAGACATTGCTGTTATAGAAATTCTTTGGATGTCGCAAATGTATACTATAATTTCAACTACTTAAAAGCTTGGGGATATATCAATCGATCAGTAAGCAACAACGTAGAACTTCGTACGTACGCACATCAGTTCAATTTGCCACACCAGATTAGCACACAAACGCAGTAGTCATTTCAAATCCCATCGACCTGCCTGACAGTAGAATCTACAGAAGCATATGTTTCAGCCAATACAACTCGGTTGGTTCATCACGACAGACAAGCCCGACCACCACGTAAAGGTAGCTACGGTCGGGATATATATATATATATATATATATATATATATATATATATATAATCAGTCGTGAGAACTGATCAAACTAAGTTGAACTCATAACTTACCATTACGCTCTATAGTATAAACCTTTTGTTGGCTGAAGTCAAACTACTACTATATCTGTCTAAGTTCTCTACCTATTTATTAGTGAGATCATAATTAAGGTTAATCGGTAGTTTCACTCCTTAAGCTTACTTACAAATCTACGACAATTACTTATGTTAATTGTTGTCCAAGGTGATAGTTGGGAGTGGTTGACAGAAGACCCCGAACCTACGTTTCGCACAATTAGGTACTCTTTAGTACTGTGTATATGCAATCTCGAAGAGATTGATGTTTCATGACTAATTCGATACCACGTTAACCAACCTCAGTGTTAGAGACTTTATCATTCAGCTTTTCAAGTTGCAACTGTCCTTTTGTAGGACTAGAATATATTTGCGGTTAGTGTTTACAACTTAGTGTTCATGTCTCATCACGATAATTTCATTTCGGCTATGTAAAAATTTCATACAAATATGAGAACACTGAATAGTGGTGGAAGCATAACGGTTAGTTGTCTAATATGAAAGCAAACCAACGGACATCTTAGAAAAGTTGGAATTATGCACTTGGTTGAATTCAGTAATATTTCTGAGATATATACACGTACATAATTCAAGAATGGTGAGGCGTAAACTTGACCAAGATTATTACTTACCGACTCTGAACGGCTCATCCTTCTGCATTATTAAGAACACAAAGCCAAGACAAAAATGATTCAGAAACTACATATGCTTAGTAGTGGCGAAGCACGCTACTTTGATTTGATTGAACGATGGGTTTATTAAGCAATTGGCTGGTTTCAGAAGTCATGTGACTTTTGTCTCCTCGTCTATCCAATTATCGATCGGAATTTTCGTCGGCCAATAACTTTCAAGGTATCTGATTTCATTTGGACCAATGATAGTTGCCTTCGAATGTTTGCCGTTAGTTCAATAAAATAGCTAGTTCCGTTAAAACCAACCAATTCTGGTTACTCTGATTGCTGTTGTTGTACACTAGATCAAGGTTGAATCGATCCTAACCCGATTGGCTAATCTCTTGTTTGGCTTATGTTCATAATACTACCAAGATTCAGTGGTCGTCAGAAGTAGCTGTATTCCATATATAAACTAGCAACAGCAAAGAATGTCTAATTCATAATCTAGTGGTTACGTTAGAACCAGTTCTGAATTCAGGAAGAATCACGTGAACACTTGTAGATACATGGAGAAGGTAAATGCAATATACTACACGATAAACATTTACCATACCTGTGCTCACTTTGGTGAACTATTTTGCAATTCTTTGATGAATCACTTATATTTTTACGAGAACAGAAACTGCTGTTAAGGAAAAGTGAGGAAGGGCGATCTTGAAGTTTTAATTCACTACAACGACTGAGCAAAGCGTCAGATATTCTCACTGGCTGTAAATGAAGCTCACTTACTGTCTCATAGATAATACATATTGTTTCAAATCTTTTGGAATGAACTTTAAGGGTTCTGGATAAACTCCTTTCCCGAATTTCGAATATTTACCTCAACTATCAACCGATCACGAAAATAGACTTCCAACTGGTCATCGGATTTATATTTCGCGGCCTGTTTTTTTTTTCGTTCAGGTAGAAAGTATCTTACTCCCTTACCGCTTTGTCGCGCCATCCGATGGAATTTCAATCTCACCATCATTCAAAACTAGAACACTTCACATGAATGAGTAGTTATTTCTTGAGAGACACAAACAGGAATGCAGTTGGTTGATTTGAAAAAGCCAAATTCTTTATTAGGTTAGACATATGTGTGTCAATACATGTCAGAAGATGAGCTGCTACTTTACCATCTTTAATATTTTTTCTGGTCATGCACTAGATTTCAAATCACTCCATGTGGTCTACAAAGACAATCCCACTTGAATTTATATCCAAATGTTTAGAGTTTCACTTCATCGCGACCCCAATGATCAGGGGTAGTTGTAGTCCATGTACTAACTAGTAACACTCAAAATTGTCCAGTTCCTACTATAATGGTCACGTATGGAAGAACTACACAATCAGAATCGAAAGTAGTGCATTTCGAATTCGAAATAGATTAATACTTGCGCCTGTTACCCCCAATGGAGCATAGGCCGCCCACCAGTTTTCTCCAACCAACTCTGTCCTTGGCTTCCCTTTCTAGTTCTTTCCAGTTTTTGTTCATTCTTCTCATGTCTTTCTCTATTTCTCAGCGTAATGTGTTCTTTGGCCTTCCTCTTTTCCTTTGACCTTGAGGGTTCCATATGACGCAACTGGGTGATTTTCGCAGTGTGTCTTATCCACTTCCACTGCTTCTTCCTGATTTCAACTCAGTTTGTTGTTGTTAGTTGTTGCTGATGGTGTCTGACCAACGGATTCGAAGTATTTTGCGTAGACAACTCTTCATAAATACTTGTATCTTCTGGATGATGGCTTTCGTAGTTCTCCAAGTTTCCGCTCCATACAGTAGAACTGTCTTGACATTTGTATTGAAAATCCTGATTTTAGTGTTGGTTGATATTTGCTTGTAGTTCCAGATATTTTTCAATTGTAGAAATGCATCCCATGCTTTGCCGATCCGTGCCCTCACATCTGCATCTAATCCACCTTGGTTGTCGATGATGCTGCACAGATATGTAAAGGTGTTAACGTCCTCCAAGGCATCTCCATCAAGAGTGATTTGGTTGGTGCATGTTGTGTTGCATCGGAGAATTTTGTTTTTTCCTTTATGTATGTTGAGACCTACTGCTGCAGAGGCTGCTGCTACACTGGTCGTCTTCTCTTGCATTTGTTGTTGAGTGTGCGATAGATCGACATTGACCCAATTTATCAACCAATCAGGAGAATCATAGGTGACACTGGATCAAGAAACAGATCAAAAGAGGGAGGCAATCAAAACATAGTTGCAAACAACGACAGGTCAAAGGTCAACAACAACCAATCAAGATTGAGGTTAGCAGAACAAGCTACAGGTCAAACGTGGAGAGATTCTAATGCTTCACTTCTATCTGAAGTTCGTGCTGATGATGTTGTTCAGAAGAACAATGAAAGCTTCACAACCAAAACAACCAGCTCAGAGAACGAAACACCACCACAATCATCCACCTGAGCTACAAATTTTCTCCACCATCTCAAGATATTGGTTTTCCCTTTATGTATGTTGTGACCTACTGCTGCTGAAGCTGCTGCTACACTGGTCGTCTTCTCTCGCATTTGTTGTTGCGTGTGCGTTAGAGGAGCCAGGTCATCTGAGAAGTCCAGATCGTCCAGCTGCGTCCTAGCTGTCCATTGAATACCGTGCTTCCCTCCGGATGTTGACGTCTTCATAACCCAGCCGATGACCAGGAGAAAGAGAAAGGGTGAGAGTAAGCAACCTAGCTTGACACCGGTCTTCAACTCAAACGAGTTTGTCAGCTGACATCCGTACACAATTTTGCAGTTCAATCCATCATAAGAACTCCTTATGATGTTGACTATCTTCTCAGGCACGCCATGGTGTCGAAGGAGCTTCCATAATGTTTTCCTGTCCACGCTATCGAATGCCTTCTCGTAGTCGATGAAGTTGATGTAGAGTGGTGAGTTCCATTCTATTGATTGTTCCAGAATGACCCGTAATGTAGCAATTTGGTCAGTACATGATCGATCCTTATGAAATCCAGCCTGTTGATCTCGAAGTTTGGCGTCTACGAAGTCTTTCATTCTGTTTGACAGTACTCTGTTGAAGCCTTTGCCTTGTATTGAGAGAAGTGATGCCTCTGTATTTGTTACACATGCTGAGATTGCCTTTCTTTGGTATTTTGATCAGGTGTCCTTCTTTCCAATCTGATGTTACTTGTTCCTCATGCCAATAATAATTTTGCAGTTGCTTCCACGTCTGCTTTCATTGCCTCTGCTGGAATGTTGTCTGGTCCTGTTGATTTGCCGCTCTTGATTTTTCTGATGGCCAAGCTGATCTATTCAATTGGATGTGCCCCAACATCGATTGGGAGGTCCGTGGATGCTGCTTCGATGTTGGGTGGGTTCAATGGATCTGGTCGATTCAAGAGATCCTTAAAGAGCTCCACACACCTATTTCCCTGTTCTTCAGTGTTGCCTTCCTTGCTTTTCACTGGCCGTTCTGGTTTACGATAGTTTCCGGCGAGCTTCTTTGTAGGTTCCGTCTCTTGCAGCCTTTTCCGCCGTCATTGCTAGATCTTCCATATATTTTCGTTTGTCAGCTCTGATGCTCTTCTTCACTTTCCTGTCTTCTTCCATGTATTCATCTTGTGCCTTAACTTTCTCTGCTCTTGTTCGGCTGACATTGTTCCTCCTTTCCTCAATTTTTTCAAGAGTAATAATATTGATCCATTCCTTGTGATGGCACTTCTTGTGACCCAGGACGTCCCGAAATGTTGAAGTGATTGTCTCTTTGATCCCTTCCCGATTGTTCTCCTATGTTGCTTCCTCTCCATTGAGTAGATCCTGAAAGTCCTGAACCCTACTGGTGAGGGCTATCTTGAATTCGTTGAGTTTTACGGCATCCCGAAGAAAGGCCGTATTAAACTTGTGTGATGTTGTCTGCCCCGTTGTCCAGTGCTTCTTTTTGTGTTTGTTTGGACAGCATCAGTGCAACTCCTTGTGTATATCAAGCATTTTCCGCCTCATGACCAGAGTATAACAGCAGTTCCCCTGAAGCTAATCACAGTTGTCTTACCTGTGTCCAATGCGTTTCGCTGATTCCAAGCACCTCCAAGCTGTGTATTTTGATCTCTGCAGCAACTTAGATGACTCTCCCAGTCTCCCACAATGTACGAACGTTCCATGTACCTAAAAGAATGGTTGCTGTGGTTGTCAGAAGAGGCATCGGCCTCGTGACTTCTGAGGGAACTGGGCTTTCATCACGCGACGTCATAATTCTTCTTCCAACTCCCAGGGCTGAGTTAAAATGGTTTGATTTATTTTTCCGGTTAGCGTTTTTTGGCAAGTTAGTTTTTTGGTGGATATGCTGAAGTGATTGTCCGCATTAAGTCCGTAAGATTTGTGGAGGCAGCTTCCTGTGTCAACGTCATAGTCATAAAATGCTTTAAAAGATAACGTCGAATTTCGTGTTCTGGTCGAAACAATTACATTTCATTCTAAGTTGAAAAGAAAGTATTACCATGTCCAACCCCTCCTCCTTTATCCGGACTTCGGACCGGCAGTAGCCCCGAAGGGTCTACTGGCGGAGTTAATTCGAAATAGATGCGGAATATTAATGTACAAAGGAGTCACTGTTGTTTACAACCATCACAGATTCTTTTTAAGAATGTTAATGGTGGTAGTTGTTTCATTTCACCATGCCTTGAGCGATAAGTCGTTTCAGGACAAAACTTACTTGAGTGTTGTTATGTAACAATTACATATTATCGCATGTCTACATTATATCCTAACGATTACATACGATTACAAACAAATGCCAATATCAAGAGTAACTGAAGGAGCTATGATGCAAAATTTAAAACAGTACCACCAATAATCAAACCACAGATTTCTATGAGTTATGAAGAAAATACTTTATTAGATTTAAAAACAGGCAATTTCGAAACCGCTCACATGTTGATCAAATGTTTTTCGACTCCCTGAGGTAGACTACAGGAATATTCATGAAACAAAATATTTTTTTAATGTCTTCATCAACAAAGTGTCATGTCTGTCACCTTTATGTATGTGTAACACTTAGCTAACTTGTGCTTTGTTCTACAAACCCCAAATAGACGGCGCTTATTGAAAACAC